TAGTGGAGTGCGCGGTCGAGTTCCGCCATATGCTCCGCTTCAGGTTTCTTAAGGTAGGTGGCGAGCTGGCTTGCTGAATACGAAAGGTCTGGTCGGCAGGTGACGGCTGCGAATAGTAGGCATCCTAGTTTTCTCTGATAGTCGCGTATGCCGGCGGGCTTGAGTGGAGCGGAGATTCCTTCGTGATTTGCGGAGGTGTAGCAGTACGGTGTGGAGATAGCAGTTGGAGTTAATCCAAAGCGTTTGGCGATGGTGTCGGCGTATTTTGCGGCGCTGAGGTGGATCGTGTTCTCGCCGTCCCGTATGTTGAGTCCTAGGTACTGCGTCACGGTAGATGAGACGGTAAGAGTTAAGTCCCGCTGTAGCTCCCCTTCGAACCAGGTTGTGACGTCGTCGGTCGAGGCGATGTAGAGTAGATCGTCCACGTAGACGATGAGCATTATGTAGTCAGCTCTTTTCGTGAGCCGGTACATCCCTTGATCGTGCGGCAGTTGCCTGAATCCGATGCGGATTAGACGGACGTGTAGGTACTGTTGCCACAGTCTGGGGGCATGTTTGATGCCGTACAGGGACTTCAGTAGCTGACAGACTTGATTGGGGTCTGCGTTGGAGCCGTGCGGTTGCTCGACGAAGATTTCAGCGTCAAAGGGTGCGTAGAGGAAGGCGTTGGCGACGTCAATTTGACGAAGCTTCTTCCGCTTCATGGCGGCTATCGCGAGGAGAATCCGCAGTGAGGTGTGCCGACTAACCGGTGCGAACGTTTCGGTGAAGTCTCGTCCGTGCTCTTGGTCGAAGCCACGTACGACCCAGCGCGCCTTGATTTTGTCAATGGCTCCGTCTGCCTTTGTTTTCACCCAAAAGACCCATTTCCTGGTGAGAATGGTCTTGTTCCGTGCCACCCCGATAGGTACGACCTTCCAGGTGTTGCGTTCTTCAAGTGCCTTTAACTCCTTGTCCATGGCTTCGCGCCATTTTTTCCTGTGTTCCCCCCCCAGAGCCTGCTGAACTGTTGCAGGCTCCTTAGGTGGCGCTGCTCCATGGACGGCGGTGACGAGTCCCAGTATCTGCAGCCCACTCTGTGTGTAGCGGGGAAGATTTGCGTCCTCGGGATAAGCTGCTTCGTCTCCTGCTTCTGGATCAGGTAAGAAATTGGGTCCTACGCGTTCTGCTTCGTCGGTGTTGACTCGTGCGGGGGAAACATAACCATTGTCAGCGAAGTTGTAGAAGACTTCGGCGTTGATGCTTTCGCGAGGGTTATCGTCGTCCATTGGAACGTCCACCGAGCAGTATGGAAGAGGTCCGGCTTCTTCCGAAGCTCTGTCCACGTTCTGCTCGTCCAAGTCAGCTTCATCTGCTGCCGAGGCGAAGGCTCGGTCCCCACGAAATCCGCCTGTGACGTCGTGTGAAGTTTCCAAGTTGTACAGGCACGTTGGAAGTGTGAGCCGTTTGTAGAAGATCACGTCACGTGCTGCTACTGTTTCCTTTGTGTGGACGTCGAAGATCTTCCATGCGTTGTAGTGTTTTTCGATGCCCAGGTGTAGTCCCCATTGTGCGCGTTGGGAGAATCGACCGGCGCGTGCAGCTGGGGGTCGGAACTGTACCATGCAGCCGAACACTCGTAACATTTTTGTGTTGCCCAATTTTCCTGTCCACAGCAGATGCGGTGATGCGTTGTTCGGGAGCGATGATGACGAAAGCAAGTTGTGCAGCATGACAGCATGTTCCATCGCCTCAGGCCACTGGTGGTTGGGTAGTCGCATGCCACGCAACAGTTTGCGCATGGTGTTCTGAAGAGTCCTGTTCATTCTTTCTGCCACGCCTTGCTGTTGATGGGCGTAGGGAAGGGAGATGAGCCTTTTGATGCCTCTTTCTGCCAGGTAGTCCTTGTATCTCTGGGACTGATATTCCCCTCCCCCGTCTGACTGGAAGCTTTTCAGCTTCACTCCTGATTCTCGTTCTGCTATTGGAAGCCAGGCAACGAAGGCTTCGAAGGCCATGTCGCGACTCGGAAGGTTAAGGTGCCATACGTATCGTGTGGCGGCGTCGATGAAAGTGATAACGTAGTTGTATGCTCCTTGACCGGGTTCGCGGTTGTACAGTATGTCGCTGTACACCTTCTCCAGAGGTGTATATGCCGGCGTACTTGGGTTGTGGTGAGAGACGAACGGCTGATGCGGTAAGTCGGCTTCAGGGCAGGTAAAGCATGTTCCTCGAACTCGTTGGAGTTCTCTGCCGTCGGGTAGGAGTAGCGAGTCTTTATCAAGTACTCCTGCTCTTATCGTGTTATTTAACGTCGTGTTGCTCGGGTGTCCCATTCTTGCGTGCCAGATGTCTTCGCCAGCGCGATGTCCGGGCGAGCGCCTGTACAAGTCGGAGTTGGAGTAAAAACCAGCGGTGAAGTTGGCGCTTCTGTGGACTTCTCGTGGAGTAGGAGTCAACTGCTGCGCAGGAGTCGGTGGAGTATCGTCGATTGGAGCTGGTGTCGTTGAAGGACCCGCGATTGGTATTGTCTCTGCTGCTGCCGATGTTGTCTCTGCTGCTGCCGATGTTGTCTCTGCTGCTGCCGATGTTGTCTCTGCTGCTTGTTGGATTGTCACTAATGCTCGTGTTCGTTCTGCCTCAGGTATGGTATTCGAGTACCAGAAGCCGCCGGGGCTGAAGTCGGGGTCGAGATCCGGCGGATGTGTCCAGGGAGCGAAGGTGACTATTCTGTCGCTGTCGGCGGTGCCTTGATCTGGAACGAAGTCGAGAACGAAGACATTGTTTTTCAACACTGCCTTGCCGATATAGAGTCCGCCCTTTCCGTGGTACAGTTTGAACTCCTGAGTGGTGCTATCTGCTTCGAGATGAATTCCTTTCGCCATCAGCTGACTGACACTGAGTAAGTTGTACCCGAGTCCCTCTGCGATTAAAACCTTCGACATTTGTAGTACGACATTGGTTTCCCTTGACTGAAGTTGAACGATGCCTTGTCATCGTGTGCGCAGGTTCTGGTTGTTGGCGACGGTAATTACGACTTCGCGTTGAAGTTGGTGTTCCCGTTGAACGAAGCGACCCGAGGAGCACATGTGCTGTCCGCAGCAGCTGTCCAAGAACCAGGTGTCTTTCCCGGACGGCTCGCTCTGGGCGATGGCTGCGTATGTCGGGTTCGGCTCCAGTGACTCGCGGCGTGGAGTACTTTCATCGAGTTGTTCTTCCGGTGAGTAGTACGGTGGTGATTCGGTGATGCAGGAGTCTGTCAATCTCGCCATGCAGCTGACGATGTTTCTTGTTCCTTGTGCAGATTGCGTCGTCGATGTTGTTGAAGACTGCAATTGACTGGTGGGGTGCGCCTGAGTGGAGGCCACTTGACTACTTGAAGGCCGAAGTTGTCGCTGTGGTGTCGTTGACTGTTGCAGGTTTGGGCAGTGTGTCCGAGGATGTCCTGACGTCTTGCAGAGATGACAAAACGGAGGTACGTGCTGTTGCTGTTGTTGTTTATTTTGTCGGTTGGAGTTGTTAAAGCGCCGTTGGGTGTGGAATGCAAATTCGGGCACTGATGTTTTCCTCTTGTGCTGCTCCTCATGCAGGTCCATGTCTTGTTGTTCAGCGTGTATTTCAGCGCAGAGTGCCGCTTCGGAGATCTTCCCGTGAGCTCAGAGTATAGCTCGAGTGGAGCGCAAATGAGGACCAAGGCCGGAGATGACGACTGTGACGAAGGCTTCTTCAGATATCGATCCTCCGCATCGAAGGAGTCTGTCGCGCAATCCGCGACAACGGCTGATATACGCCATCCCTTTTTCGTCGGGTTTCATTTCCACTGTTGTCAGCTGTGCCATTAACCGACTCTGGTTGACGCTGTCTGTTGCTTGGTACAGGTTCTTCAAGTGGTTGTACGCGAGCTCGGCGGAGTTGCCGTATCCCCGATAAGACCGGATGTTCTGCTGCTGGTTCGGAGTTATGTTCCTCAACAAGATCGTGTACGCCATCATCGACTGATATGTATACTGTTGTTTGTCGTACTGCGTCCCGTGTGTTGGGTATGGCAGGGATCCGTCGAAGAATCCAAGAATCTGCGCGCCTTCCATCATCAGCTCAAACTCGAATGACCAGGTATAAAAATCCTTGCCGTCGAAAGGCGTCGATGTCTGTAGTTTCAAGACGTGCGCGAACTGCGATTGAACCTGAAGCGCATCCATTGTCTTCTCCTGTCCAGGTCGAGTCTCTTGGTGCGGCATGAAGCTGATCGAGCCACGTTGAGGCTCATACGGAGCAAAGGTGGGTTGCTGCTGGTTTCCGCGCGCATAGGATGAACCATCGAGACTCATGGGTGTAACATCGTTGTTGTTGTTGCTGATGTTTGACTGGGCAGGTGCCGCTTGCTGATGCTGTTCGTAGAAGGACATGAAGGAGAAGAACTTCTCCATCATACTTGGGTCGAAGCCTATCGCTTGGTTCACGGGAGTTTCAGTAGACTCAGCAGCTGGTCTTGTCGCCGTGTCTCCCTCCGTCTGTAGGCCGGAGGCTGGAGGTGGAGTAGGAGTAGTGCCAGGAGACCCGTTGGAGGAGCTTCTCTCCTTCTGCGTTGCCATGCTTTCTGATGTTGTAGGGAAATTGTATGTAGTTGAATTTGCCTTGACAGCTCTCATACCATGTTGGGCTGAGAAAAGCCCTTAGGATCTTTTCAAGGCTAAACTCTGAGTAGAAGTGTTGTATTTGCAAAAGCGTTTTGATAACAAAGGTTGAACCACCTTGCGCTAGTGTGTGAGGGCAACTGCTCAGTATCGAGTCAGTTGTTTGTCCTTGTTGTCGTGCTGTATTTGTCAAGTCAAATGTCGCTGACCTTTGACCTTCGCGTAACCTCCAGCGGTTACTTCACTTGTCAACCTCCGATGGTTGACTCGCCGTTGTTCCTCTGTAGTTCGTCTCGTTTGTAGTTCGGTGTTACGACACATCAGAAGCGTTAAGTTACTTGTTTCCTACAGCCGATAACACATTCCTCTCCTCCTGATTCAGTCCCTCTAAATAGAGAGGGGACGGGAGAGCCTGAAGGAATGGACGTGGGGAGAAATGAGGGGAGTGGGCCGCAGAGAGGGGCAAAGGAGAAAAGGGATTGCAGTGGTTGGGCAGGAGATAGCAATGGGGAAGATGGGCGTAGGAGAGGAATGGTTGGGTTGATGGGTGGAAGGGAAGACGAGAGGTGAGTAAGTTGGGGCCTGAGGGCAGAGCGCATGAGGATGAGTGAGCGAGTATGGGGGAGAGGGGCGAAGAGCATGAGTGATCATTTGCGAGAATGTGGGACAGATACCGAGCATGAGAGAACATGAACGCACTGGAACGTGCGAGTGACGTGTGCGAGTGAGCATTGATGGGAGCGAATGAATGGCTGACGTAAGTGAATGTGCGATAAGAGTAAGTGAGCAATGGGAGATTGCAGGTAGAGAGGGGAAGCTCCAGGGCCAGCTCCTCCTCCCGCCTTGGAGATAGGGAGAAGAAAGTTCAAGGTGGGCGGGACCGCACGAGAGGAGGGAGGGAAACGGAGAGGGATTGGAGGGGGGGGGGGGAAGCGGAGAGGGACGGGAGGAGGGAGGCGAAGAGTGGAAAACAGAAGAGGGTGGGGATGCAGCAGAAACGAGGACAACAGGGAGGAGGATGGGAGGGTACGCATGGGCGAAGGGAACATTTGCGCGCTGGCAAAACGATGAGTAAGGTAATGGGGTAAACCAAGAGATATGGGCAAGGGGGAAATGGAAAGAATGACAAGGGGAGTGGGGGACGAAGCGGGTAAGCAGTGCGGAGGGAAGTGGGAGCAGCACGGGGGAGTAGAGAAGAAACTATTTGGTAGGGAGGGGCAGAGAGGGAAGCGAGGAGAGAGGCGGCGAGGGAATGGTGGTGAGGAAGAAAGGGAAGGGAGGGGAGGGGAAAGGGTAAGGGAAGGGAGAGGAAAAAGAAAGCGAAGGGAGAGGAAAACAGGGCGACGGGCAGGGGAATTTTTGGGAACGGGGAGGGGAAGTAATGACGGGCAGGGGAGGCGATGTCGACGAGGAAGGCGGTGGAGGGGAAGTGAGGGCGACGGTAGGGGAGCGAGGGCGACAGGCATGGGCAACGCGAGTGACAATCTAAGGAAGCGAGGGCGAGGGGCAGGGGACGGGTACGCGACGGAAAGGGCAAAGGGAGGGGAGACGAGAGCGAGGACTGGAGGGCGTGGAACAACAAGCGCCACTAAAAGGCTGAGATTGAGGGAAGTATGTGAGTGACGGGAGTGTGTGAGTGACGGGAGGGAAGGGCACGGGTGAAACAGTGAGAAAGGCAATGGGGTAAACCGAGAGATAGGGGCATGGGGAAAACTGAAGGATTGTAAACGGGAGTGTGAGGGGGAGGAGTCAGGAAGTAGCGCGTAGGGGAAGCAGTGTGGGGGGAAGTGGGGAAGCAGAGCGGAGTGAAGGGGGAGCGGCGCGGGGGGAAGTGGGGAAGAAGCGCGGAGGGACGAGGGAGCAGCGCGGGGGGAAGTGGGGAAGTAGCGCGGAGGGACGGGGGAGCAGCCGGGGAGGTGGGGAAGCAGCGCGGGGAAGTGGGGGAGCAACGCGGGTGGGGGGAAGCATTGCCATGGGAAGGAGGGTAGAAAAGTGTAGGGGAAGGGGAGAGTCGAGGAGGGAAGGAAGGCGAGAGGCAAAGGACGGGAGGGACGGGTTGGAAGAGTGCGACGAGAGCAACGAGAGCGACAAGGGCGACGAGAGCGACGAGTGCAACGCGAGCGACAAGGGCGCCGAGAGCTACGGGAGGGACGTAAGCGACGAGTCGACGCGAGCAACAAGGGCGTCGAGAGCTACGGGAGGGACGTAAGCGACGAGTGCGACGCGAGCGACAAGGGCGACGAGAGCTACAGGAGAGACGTAAGTGACGAGTGCGACGCGAGCGACAAGGGCGACGAGGCCGACGAAAGCGACGGGAAGGACGGGAGCGACGGGAACGATGGAAGCGACGAGAAGTATGGGAGGGACAGGAGCGATGGGAGGGCTATGAGGCACGTCGCGATAGTCGTGAATGACGGCTGCAAGGGTCATAACCTGATCGAACGGTGAGACCTGAGGGACGTGGGCTGGAAGTGTTAGACAGAATAATAGTTGGGAAAAAGGAAACACCGGCGCTGTGTATCATTCATGAAATGACGGGCTAAGGAGCCTGCTATGTCTCGAGTCTAGAGTGGTAAGCAAAAGCTTTCAAGTTTCAAGAAGTCTGAACAGTACCGTGTGCTTTTGTTTGTTATGGCGAGGGTTGTTGTGGGATTGCTTGTGATGGTTCTGGCCAATCACAGCCTCACGCAACAATTCCCTCTCGGTGGGTCGCGAGCAGGATTGTCGAAGTAAGGGCATTTGCCCTTAATGCCCTGAACATTCCGGGCTACGTAAGGAGCAGCTCGACCGTTTCAAGTGTTAGATGATCATGGCACCCGTGACAGTTAAGGGCCTCGTTTGGGCCTTCCCCTGAATCCAAGTTTTGGTTTCAGTTTCGAAGGACCCCCCCCCCCCCCCCCCCACCAATACCTTCCTCCCCCCCACCCCCCAGATGTTTTTGCCTACAATGTTTTGCCTACAATGTAGAGGCTGTAGGTGTGTTGACGAGAAGTTAGTACGCCCCTTTCTACTGCTAAGTGTCGAAATACTAGGCAAGAATCAGAAACAGGAAAGAAGGCTTTTCACTAGCAGCAGTTGAGATACATATAGGAAACCCTAATTGGGTTGTACTCGCTATAGAGTACCCCACTGCAGGCTAGACAAACATCGACATTCTGACACACCCCCATAGTCAAAGTGGGGTACAATCAACACAACAAGCAGGCAGTGCAATAGTTCACAAGGATAAGCAAAGCTAGAGGCTATCACAGAGGGCAAGTGAGGAGGAGGAGAAACTGTGGAGGGCGAGAAGATGAGAGGCGACGGCTGAAGCTGCAGACACACGGGCAACAGGAGTGCGCAGCACTGACGCTACCAGGCTAAACCCGGGCTACACGGCGACAGGCGCAGCTGGCTCACTGTGGTCCCAGGAGTGCTCACACTGTGGCTACCGGGCGCAGAGCCCCGGACTATACGGCCACAGGGGGTCGTGGCTCTCTGGACTACCAGGAGTGCTCACACTGTGGCTACCGGGCGCAGAGCCCCGGACTACACGGCCACAGGGGGTCGTGGCTCTCTGGACTTCAGGCGCTGCGGACGACAAGTCGGCTACCTCCGGTCAACCTCCCCCAACTGTCCCACACCCCTTTCACACACTCCCTGCTGTACCCCTAGCACTGCTCACACACCACCCCCCTCGTATCACTCCGACGGCTCCAACACATCCACCCCCCTCAGCAGCAGCTGCAGCAGTGGGAGACGGAGGAGGAGGAGGAGCAGGGGACGGCGCACACACCTGTCACCCCCAAACTCGCCACCCCCACACTCGCCATCCCCAAACCCTAACACAGGCAGCAGCGGGGGGCGGTGCGCGGGCAGCAGCTGGGGGGACGGCGCGCGGCTCGGGCAGCAGCTGGACGGGCCGCGCACGGGCCTGGTGCGGGCCGTATGAACCGCGCGCGGGCTGTACGGGCCGCGCGCGGGCCTGGCGCAGACAGTACGAGCCGCGCGTAGGCCTGGCGCAGGCCGTACGGGCCGCGCGCGGGCCTGGCGCAGCCCGTACGGGCTGCGCGCGGGCTGTACGGGCCGCGCGCGGGCCTGGCACAGGTCGCGCGAGCCGCGTCGGGCGACGGGGGGCGACGCGCGGGTCTCCAGGGGCGCGGCGACGGGCGACGGGGGGCGACGCGCGGGTCGACGGGGCAGGAAACCGCCGCGCGCTCCCGGGGCGCGCGGCGGGCAGGGCAGAAAACCGCCGCGCGCCCCGAGCGCGCGGCGGGAAGAAAAAACGCCGCGCGCCCCGAGCGCGCGGCAGGCAGAAAACGAAGCGCGCCCGAGGCGCGCGATAGGCATGACAGCAGCGGAAGCTAACGGTGGGCCCATCCACAGGATCGACCCGGGAGGGTCGACCTGCTCTGATACCATGTCGAAATACTAGGCAAGAATCAGAAACAGGAAAGAAGGGTTTTCACTAGCAGCAGTTGAGATACATATAGGAAACCCTAATTGGGTTGTACTCGCTATTGAGTACCCCACTGCAGGCTATACAAACATCGACATTCTGACACTAAGTAATAGGTACATCTACCTTCGTTAGATTTAGGCTTACGTACGCTTCTCTAAGAAGCCCGGATTTTAAGGTTTGATTTCGGCCTGCGCCCGTGAAAATCAGGGCTAGAATTCGAGCAGCTCAGAACTCAAAGTGTTCGGCCCAAGGACTTCGACAGGCCTGGTCGCGAGGTCGATGCACAACCAAACCAGGTTACCTTGTGTTTTGACGAATTCGAGTTCAAGAATCTTGAACTTGAAGCCTGCCATTCTAGACTCGGGCTTTAACGGTTCTTGTGACCATTTGTTTACCTAGCTTTGTTTTGATGCCCCTCACTTAGCCTATGGGGGTGTGTCAAATGTTTATATATATTTAGATAAGCTGTAGTGAGGTACTCATTAGGGGGTACACAATTTCCCTCTACAATTTGGTTTGTACCCCCCCCTTTGACCTAATCTCTCATTCCCTTCATGATTCTAGCATTATCAGCCGAGACATGTGGTTTGGGCGTGGTGGTTGTGGTGGCGGGAAAATTATTGAGGTAAGTGGCGCGGGTGGTAACGGAATACTGTTAAGTGTACAGTGGCGGGAATAATCATTTACGCGGTATGCAATGTGACGCAAAGGATGGAGAAGTTGTTTCCTTATGTTGCGGGTTCACTTGAACGAGCGAGTGAAGATTGTACTGTTGAGTCCAACCAGTACAAATGTGAGCGAATGCACAAGCGAACATTTATGCGAAAACAGCAAACGGTAACGCGGTGTGTGGGAGCCAGCTAGTGCGATGCCGACAGCAAGGTTCGGGCTAGTCCCAAAGCTTAGGCCGACTCGTCCAGGTCCAGTAGTGCGAAGTTTGCCAAAAGTGATGTGCGAATATGGCGAACACCGTTAATAGTAACATGAGAAGAAAAGGTTGGTCTTGTAAGAGTTGTTGAGGTGCGCAGTAAGGAATATCGGAAAATTCCTTACACCTTACTACATGTGATTTGTTGTCGTCACGTCAACCTTTTTGCGTCAGCAACAGCTGTACCTGGTGAACGCATTTCTCAAAGCACAAGAGTCGGTGTCGGTGACGAGGTGAAAACATTAGCCAATGACACGCCACCAAAGCTTTCGAGCTTGTGTCCAATTCACGCCTGAACTGTCCCTACCCTGGACATGGTTTGTCTCGCCAAGCCTCAAACTGGGGGTTTTCTTCGCCCTGTCAGGTCCGACAAACGTTGTTGATTGGTCTGGATTCAGCCATCGTCCAGCCTTCCACGCGCTTGACACCCAACCCAAACCTGGGCTGAAAAAGCGGCGCGCATCGGCTTTATCGAGCCAGTTGTTTCGGGGCGCGATGTGCGCTATGGGAAAGGCTCTCCTTCCCCAGACGATTACCACCCACCCCAAAACTTATTCCACCGTTCCACGCCACGCCCCACCGTCGGATCACTAGCTACCCAATCTGATCTGACGCGGGCCGCCGAAGTCACCTTCCTAACCAACACCACCTAGACCAGAGTCCCACCGACTGCAAACCGAACCAGGAGAAGTGCGTGTGTGGTATACGGTAAATTCCAAGGTAAATTCCTCTATGGTTGTGGTCCGGTGAGTTAGAATACGGTGCAGAGCGTTGCCTCCAAAGTGATAAGGTGGGTTGCTTCTTGTATCCCCTAATTGCTGTCTCAGAACTTCCTACATAAGTGAAACTAATTGTAGTATCAGCCACAGCCCCGTGCCACCACACCATTCCCTCTCGACCTCCGTTCGCATTCCCGTGTGACGTTCGCTCAGCTCTACACACCCTAACCGACCCCATTTCACCTACTAATACTACTGCGTCAACACTCACCCGTCCTCATGGCCGCACCCAGAGCAAACAAACTGGCGCATATCACGATCATGCGCCTCTCCACGTTCCTCCTCGTCGCCGCGGTACTATTTTATGACAGCGCCGCGGCCGCTACGGGCACTAAGAGCTCCGCCGGCGATGGGTCAACTCCGTCCGCCCTACATTCCCAAGGCCGCCTCGCGAACAGCCAACTGTGGCGACTGAAAACCTTGCGCAAGTTTCTTCCCACTGGCGCTGCTGCTACAGGCGGGGCCGCAACTGCAGCCAGCAGCGGAGCAGCGGCGAAACCAATGTTGACCCCCGCCTCGACATCCACGTGTCAGGCGTCGACTCTCGCGGGTTACACGAGCTCCGTGGACCTCTCAGGCAAAGGGTGAGTGCTAAAACGGGGCTTGAGAGATTATCCTCGATAGTAGCAAAGGATCCCAGACTGAAATGTATCACCTTTATCGTCCTACCATGAACCGTTGACGTATTTCGAGTCGCCCTCACATTCTTATGTAAATCCCTGGGTTTTTTTCAGGCTCATCCTCCATTGGAAAAAGTCAACAGGGTCAACGATCGACCTCGCGCTCGAAGCCAAGTCAACGAGCGGCGCGGCGGGCGGGTGGTTCTCGGTGGCGTGGAGCAACGGCGGCATGTTCAACTCCGACGCCGTCATCGGGAACCTCGCGACGGCCAGCGGCGTGGGCACGTACGCGATATCGAGCTACTCGAATGTGGCACCAACAACGCGCTTCGCTATCAGCGGCACGAGCGTTACCACGTCGGGAGGAAAAACGATTGTGAAGTTCACGCGCGCGTCGGGGAACGGCCTTGTACCGGTGAAGGTGGCGGGGAGCAACAAGCTCGTGTGGGCTTACTCGGAGTCTGGCAGCTCAAAGACAGTCGCCAACCATGGCGGCTCGCATAGGTGCGGCCGTGCGCTCTCTCGCTTCTGAATGGCTCTCAATTCTTTGCACCTGTAGACGTACCTTCAGTCCACCGTTTAATTCACTTACACTTCAATAATGTGTCATTTTTCCTTCTCCTCGTCTTCATCTGTTTTCCATCCCTCCAGAGGAGCCAAGACCGTTGATTTCTCTTGCGACGGCACAGCCTCTGGGTCAGGCTCCGGGTCAGGCTCGGGATCAGGCTCGGGCACCGGAGCAGGCACGTGCACTGGAAACACGGGCGTGAGTGGCACCGCATGCCCTGCGTCCACCCTCTGCGGCTACTCCTACCAGGCGCAGATTAAACCCGGGTATGTGCGTGCGTAGGCAATCAAACCTGGGTATGACGTGCAGAGCCCTGACGTTCTAGCATCAGTCACCTCATCCTCCTAAACCAAAGGCCACTGATGTCACCTTTCCTGCAGATTTGATTTTCTTCGCGACAACCCTGCAGTGCACCCTTGATTTCTATCCCCCCTTCTGTTCCTCCTATTCCGTGCCCTTGTGTCTCTCCAGCATTCTGCTGCACAGGAAGCACCATGGAGCTCAGAACATGTAACCCATTTTCCCTTTCCCTCCCTCCACCTCCCCTCCCCACTTCTCCCCTTCTTCCACCTCCTTTCTCCAGTGTGCTGCTGCACTGGAAGCGCGCGTCCGCCACGCAGCTGGATATGGCCGTGGAGCTCAAGAGCAGCAGCGGCGCCAGCAACGGCTGGTTCTCCCTCGGCTGGGCCTCCGGAGGAGGCATGGCTCCCGCCGATGCTATCATTGGCAACAGGGACGGGGGACTCGTCAGCCCATACTACATCGACGGCTACACCATGTCCTCGTTAAAAGGCGGCGCGTTTGACATTGGCAGCAGCGCTGGGACCGTGACATCTGCTACAGGTTCCACAGTGATCCAGTAAGTGGGTTGCACATTGGTGCGAGGTCGGGACATCACATCAGCTACTGTCCCTCTCTGCCCACCCGCCGTTTTATTATTCTGTCTTCCCCCCTCTGTCACCCACTCCCCCACCTGCTGTCTGTTTCCCTTGCTCTCTCGTCCTGAGCATTCTCTGAACCAGTAAAAGCAAATTGTGTTTTTTTATTTTTATTCCCCGTGGACCAATCAGGTTCTCGCGCACGGCCGACACGGGGTCTATTCCCGTGAAGATGAGCGGCGTACATCGGATCATATGGGCGCACTCACCCACCAACTCCAAGACCCTTGCCTTCCACTTCACTTCTGCGTGAGTTTTCCTCTACCATGTCACTTGCACCTCTCTCATCATATCTACCTTTACCTCCCTCTCTCCTGAACGCTCTGATTACATCTCTGTACTTCTCATGCTGAACTAGTGCCTTCGCCACAGACCCCCCTCTGCACACACCAGCCCCAATTCATCTGCTACCTTCTCTTTCTTGTTTCTTCCCCTCCCCCCCCCCATCCTCCTCCATCCCTCTCTCCCCCTCGCTCTCTCCCTCCCTCCCTCCCTCCCACCCTTCTTCAATCACAGTGGTCATATCTCCGTGGACTTTTCCTGTGCCACTGCGCCATCTGCCACGTGATAACGAGTTGAGTGTGAGACGTCTCAAAACTTTCTCTGTCTCCCTCCCTCACTCCCAACCCTCCCATCACAGTGGTCATATCTCGGTGGACTTTTCCTGTGCCACTGCACCATCTACAGAGACTGGTCTAAAAGCAGTGGGGCCTTTGGTCTACCAGTTCATCACTTGGCTTGCCGGATCACTCTTCGGCCTCAATAAGTCGCAGATGTACACATCGCACACTTCTTCTAGCCCCATTGGATAAGGTTAGTTAGGATGCATGTTAGCAGGGGAAGACGTTGGTAGGGTAGGGTTTAGGGTAGGCAGTGCTGGCGACAGGCTCGAGCACAACCATCTTTTGGGGTTCTGTGCTATCGGTCTGATCAAATAGAGCCCAAAAGATGGTTGTGATGCCATGCCTTGCTGTGTGTAGCGAGTGGCCAATTGTTTTGCATGTCATACCTGTCGGCTTTTTCTGATTTTCAGGAACTGAGAGATGCTCTTAGTTCACAGTGTAAGATGTTCAACAAGCGCAATATGGACTAATGGTTACTTTCAGAAATGACCAAGATAAGGCTGGAAATGGTAGTGCTCAATCATTTTCAGTAGGTGGACCCTCAATGTTGAAAAACGTTATATCGTGGATTGCAAGCATTCTTGCAACGCAGAAACAGGCCTTGGGACTCCCTCCCACCCACCTACCTCGCTCAACATCCATCCGTCGACATTCCGCGCCTTCCATTCCATCCACACGACAGCTTTTCAGTTACAATACAGTTGACTGGGACTGATTCTGTTCCGATGCCAGTGCGGCATTGGAAGTTACGGGACGCAGGTGCTCCGTCAAGTCGAGAATTGCGAAACCGTCTTGATTTGTGGACGACACCACTACACATAGTTACCCTTTGTCGTCAAACTTCTCGCGCCAAGCAACAGCTCTACCGACCTCGCGAACACGCTTCTTGAGGAGGCTATCCCTGAACGACAGTGGTCGGTGAATAGGTCAAATACTTTGGCGAATCAGAAAGCACCGAAGTTCTCTTGCTTGTGCTGAATTCATGACCACCCCCTTCTTGATTCTGACCACCACACACCCAGGGCTGGGGAAAGCACGTGTCGCCGCGCCGCGCAAGTGATATGCGGCGGCTGACGACTGGCTTCCCCCAGCCATTTGTTTCGGGGCGCGCTGTTGAGCCAGGGGCAATGCGCGCCTTTCATCCAATCAGCATGCTCCAATTCCACCATTCTACGGCGCATCGCCGCCCCGCTTATCGACTCCGAGTCATGGCGCGTCCCCTTCCCATCCCTCGACTGCCCGATCAATTCTCCTATAAATCCTACCACTTAGAAGGTTATCACATATTGCAGACTCCGCCTCCCCTATAGACCTCCGTCCGCATCCACGTACGTCCACTCGACTCAACCCACCCCACCCAACCACTCTCCACCTACTCCCTCACACGCCAGACCTCCTCATTTTCCATGGCCCCAGCCCGAGCTCTGCGAGCGCAAGAACCGGCGCGCAGCGCGCTCATCACGATGCGCCTTTACATCACGTTCCTCCTCGCCGCCGCGGTCCTTGCTGGCGCCGCCGCCGCCCCGGGCGATCAGTCAACGGCGTCCGCCCGAAATTCCCAAGGTCTCGCCAGCAGAATCCACTCGTGGCGCATGACAACCTTGCGCAAGCTTCTTCACAGCAGCGCTGCAGCCGCTACCGCCGGCGACGGCGCAGCCGTAGCGGCGAAACCATTGGCGACAACTGCTGCCACGGGCACGTGTCAGGCGTCGACTCTCGCGGGTTACACGAGCTCCGTGGACCTTTCAGGCAACGGGTGAGTACTACTACTTAGTAGTCCCGAGGCGGAGTAATCCTCGATATCATATCTTTGATAGAGTGCAAGAATCCCCCATAGCGCAAGAATCCCAACCCTCGTCCGTGCATTGTACGTGGAACGCTTCTTACCCAGATTTTCTCATGTAATCCGAAGTCCGGATCGCCTTCTGTTCCTGCAGGCTCATCCTGCATTGGAAAAAGTCAACGGGGTCAACGATCGACCTCGCGCTCGAGGCCACGTCAACTAGCGGCGCGGCGAGCGGGTGGATTGCGGTGGCGTGGAGCAACGGCGGCATGTTCAACTCCGACGCCGTCATCGGGAACCTCGCGACGGCCAGCGGCGTGGGCACGTACGCGATATCGAGCTACTCGAATGTGGCTCCCACGACGCGCTTCGCCATCAGCGGCACGAGCGTCACTTCGTCATCGGGCGCAAGCACGATTGTGAAGTTCACGCGCGCGTCGGGAAAAGGTCTCGTGCCGGTGAACGTGGCGGGAAGCAACAAGCTCGTTTGGGCGTACTCGATGAGCGGCTCGAAGGCTATCGCCAGCCATGGCAGCACGCACAGGTGCCCCTCGTGCTCCCGCTCCCTTCGTTACACTCCGTATTGCTTCCATTGCGTCTCCACCTTATCATACTCACTGCAGACCTACACTGATTTGCACCTCCTGCCCACCGACTCCCTCCGCACTTCTCCTTACTTCTCCTGAATGAGTCATTTCTCAAACATCTTTCCCTTCTCCGTCGTTCCTGCCTGTTTCCAACCCTCCAGAGGAGCCAGCACTGTTGATTTCTCTTGCGACGGCACAGGTGGTTCGGGGTCAGGCTCGGGGTCAGGCTCGGGCTCCGGGTCAGGCTCCGGGTCAGGCTCAGGATCAGGCTCAGGCACCGGAGCAGGCACGTGCACGGGCAACACAGGCGTGAGCGGCACCAAATGCCCTGCGTCCACCCTCTGCGGCTACTCCTACCAGGCGCAGATCAAACCCGGGTATGTGCGTCGTGCAGACGCAGTATACGTACTCACTGTTAACCATTTGTAACCATCACTGCTACTGTGACTGCTATTGCTACTGCTGCTGCATGCCGCCCCACTTCGTCTGCAGCTTGTTTCTCATCCCCCTCCCTCGTTCATCCCTCCCTCTCCTCTGTTCCGTTTGGCAGATTGCTGCTACACTGGAAGCGCGCGTCCGCCACGCAGCTTGTTCTCATTCCCCTCCCATTCCTCTCTCCCCCTTCTCTCCCCCTCCTCCTTCCATTCTCAGGGTGCTGCTGCACTGGAAGCGCGCGTCCGCCACGCAGCTGGACATGGCCGTGGAGCTCAAGAGCAGCAGCGGCGCCAGCAACGGCTGGTTCGGCCTCGGCTGGTCCAACAGCGGCGATATGTCTCCGTCCGACGCAGTCATTGGCAACAAGGCCGGGGGACTTGTCAGCGCGTACCACATCACCGGACAGAGCATGTCCTCGTTACAAGGCGCCTCGTTTGACATTGGCGCCAATGCTGGCACCGTGACATCAGCTTCAGGATCTACAGTGATCCAGTGAGTACAAATCATTTGTGGTGCGCACTAATGCCTTCGTAACCTGCGACCCTTCACCCGCCTTCTCACCTGTTCTCTGTTTCCCTAATGCTTTACTCACACTTCTTAACTAACCGGTTGCCTGTCTTATCTTTCACCATCGACCAATCAGGTTCTCGCGCACGGCCAACACAGGGGCTATTCCCGTGAAGATGAGCGGTCTCAAGACGCTCATATGGGCGCACTCCAACACCAACTCTCAAACCCTTGACTTCCACGGCGACAATGTGTGAGTCTCCCTGACCCTTCTACCTCTTGTTCGATGTGTTCACGAGGTGACCTTCGAGTCGACTCAAAAGTCACTGCATTCGAACACCAACTCCCAAACCCTTGACTTCCACGGCGACAACGTGTGAGTCTCCCTACCTCTACCTCTTTTTCAATATGTTCACTCCTCACCCCTGCTTTCTTCTTGGTTTGCCTCTCTACTTGTTGACTTGCGATATTAGCCCCCCTATCTGCTTATTGCCTGTCCACCTCCTTAATCCACGGGGTGGCAACGAGCCTGTAGATTTCCACACCTTCGTCATCATTTCACAGCCCAGCCTTGTGCCGATTTCCTTCCCTTCATCTCATCACTCTTTCTCTCCCCTCGCTCTTTCTTTCCACTTGTTCCACCACAGAGGTGGGATGAAAGTGGACTTCTCCTGTGCCAAAGCCCCATCTGCTCGCAATGGGGAAGGTAGCGATGGCGGTGGTGGCTTTACAGGGCCTGCGGGTCCAACGTTCTCAAAGGTCATCTCTTGGCTTGGCTCTCTCTTTGGCGGCCACAAGTAGTGGGCACGTGTATGAAGAAGTGTTTTGAGAGGTCTCAAAACGGGTCCAACGTTCTCACAGGTCATCTCTTGGCTTGGCTCTCTCTTTGGCGGCCACAAGTAGTGGGTGCACATTGTGCGCTGTACTCTGCATGGTGCACACCGCATGATGCGTAATTGCACGCCATTTGTTGCATCAAGTGCACGGTGGTGCGCACCGTGTGGATCCTGGACATGTGGCAGGACGGATTTGATCCGACGGTGCGGCGATCACGAGTAGGGGAGAGGGGGTGAGCTTAGATGTGAGTTGAGTTGAGTAGTGTAGTGGTAGAAAGGGGATGGGGAAAGGGAATGGGTCAGATCGGCCGGACCACAGGCATCTTTTGGAGCTGTGTGGTCTCACCAGACACAGTGCATAAGATGGTTGTGATGCCTTGCCCTGCTTTGTATAGTGCATTGCCAAATGTATGCCTGTGCTGGCCATGGTGGCCCATTTATCAAAATGCAAGCTTCCTTTTATTTAATACGGTAGGAACCAGGAAGTAAAACCTCCTTGTGGCACTTCACACCAACAAGTCAACTATTGATTTCCAACTTGTACCGTAACTGTAAAACGCATTAGCATATATCTGTAGCCAGTGTTTGGATGACTATGAGTATACACGATGTATTATAAGAACATAGACAGGCTATCCTGTTTACACTTGCATTCCCCATCATGGATGTCATACACTATTTACAGATTGGTAGTGTGTAGGTTGAACTATAGAAGCATGTAATACTGTACCGGTTACAATGTCAGCAAAATCTGGGAAACACTATCGCACCAAGCACCGAGCCGCGATGCCATCTTGTTCCCACGAAAAGCCGTCGGAGTCGCGACCTTATCAAGAATGAAGACTCCCAGGCACGAAGGCTGAATGTGCGAATTTCGGCACTGCAATCACAAGATAGTGGGCTCGAGTAGGGTGTCAAAAGGGTTGAGTTGCATGAATTTGTCGCGTAATGTCGGACATTTGTAATTCACGCAGGACACCCACTATGGGATATTGTCGGAGATTTCTGGCGTGTGATGCATTTGGACGTTCTGTCCGCCCCGCGTCGCGTTTTCCAGATGCCAAGCTTCTTGATACATCTATCAGATCGACCAGCCTTCACGATCCTCGTATATAAATTCGCGCAGCCCACATTGTCTAAAGCATTCAAATTTAGCTTGTGGTCTCGTCACCGATCGTTGTTAGCTTGCACGCCATTTTCTCCTTCAAGCTTCCGTTTTACATCCTCTCTGCTTGCACCAGCCATGGCTCGCCACGCGATGGGCGCCTTACCTCTTCTTCTATTGGCCTCCACGCTACTCTCCGCGGCGCACGCTGCGGAAATGAGACCTCGCGACGGCCTCGCCGGCCCCGGAGGATCCAACAATCAGTTCATTGGCAATCACGAACCTGTCACTCCCGTCGCTGTCATCACACCCCGCCCCAACGACCCCGAGCCTGTGACTCAGATTCCTGAGCCTGTTACTTCGGCGAGCGACCCGGTCACCACTCCAAACCCGGCGTCGGCCCCTCAAGACGTCTTCACTGACGATCCTTTCAGAACGTCTGCCCCGTCGCACTCAAACGCGGGTCCGTCGTTCGACCCCAACGACCCTCTGGGCGGCAGGGACCCCCTCGCGGGCGACGACTCCAAGACCGGTGTTCAGCAGACAAGCGCGGCGGACTCTAGCGCGTATGCTGGGACTGTGCAACCCAACCAGGTCAACTCTGGGATCCCGATTACTCCCAATATTCCGGACAACAACACGACCCCGATTTCTCCCGATACTCCTGACAACGGCACGACCCCGAATTTTCCCGATACCCCAGACAATGGCACGACCCCGAACTTTCCTGATACTCCAGACAACGTCACTGACACTGGCGTCGCGCAGAATTCCACCTGCGACCCGTCCGACTTGGACGGTTACACGTCGTCGTATCAAATCACCAAGTACGGCCACGTGCTGCACTGGGCCGTCGTCTCCCCAACGGTCGTCAAATTCGCGTTCGAGGCGAAGCACGGCAGCGGCGCGGCGGCGGGATGGATTTCTGTGGGGTTCTCCAAGGACGGCAAGATGAAGAAGGCTGACGCAATCATCGGCAACCTTCCCGACGCGCCCATCGCAGCCTACTCGATGAAGGGATACGACGCGGATTCTATCAAACTCAACAAGGACCTGTGGATCGGCGACGACGCGAGCCTTCTGTCCAAGACCAACGGCAGCCTCATCATGAAGTAAGCGCGTTCACACCTCGCCTCCCTGAGCAACGAGCACCGAACGTTCCTCTGTTTCCCCATTTCCTTTCCGTCTTCGCTACCAAAACTTACGCGTGAATGCCGCAAGAAAAGCTTTTCCCTATATGATTTGTTCAGCAACACGCGTTCATTGACGTTTTCCGTCTGGTTGACGCCTTCAGGTTCTCGAGGAACACCACGGAAGGCGTTGCGCCCATCTCCACGACAGGCAACGTCACCGTCATCTGGGCGTTCTCCGCCGACAACACCAAGCCGCTCGCCTTCCACGGCGACAAGAGACGGTACGCTCGCAGTCCCGCCCTCCATAGCTACCCTTATCCTTGTCCGTTTTAACAGCTGCAGTTTTGCACCGATCTGATCCGCACTCCTTACCGTTTTCCTTTCGGCTCCTCTCAACTTTCTGTTTGCGTTTTCTTCGCGCAGTGGCTCTTTCAAAGTTGACTTCTCTTGCAATGGCGCCGGCGGCGTGGCGGCGCAACAAACGGTGCCGGCGGTGGCGGCGCAGGGCGGGAATGTGACGGTAGGATCGTCGTGCACCCAGTCAACGCTAAGCGAGTTCGACCACCAAGCGGATCTCTACGACGGAAAGTAAGCGTTTTTTCACTTAACCTGCCGTACTATTCATGGTGTGCTAACAACACTCATTTGTGCTAACAACATCACCATTACCTTTAATGCCTCGAATCGGATGCACATGTTCTTGTTTTTGCACGTTAATGCCCCTAATGCTGCTTCCTTGCTTCCGTACGGCCTCCCATCTCCTGTGATTCTATCACCTGCAGGATTCTGCTGCACTGGAAGGTTCTGGCCGGGCCCGTCTTCCAGATGGCTTTCGAGGCGAAGCGCCTCAGCGGTGCAGAGAACAGCTGGATTTCCGTCGGATGGTCCAACAACGGCGCCATGGCGCCTGCCGACGCCGTTGTTGGTAACACCCCCGGGATCAAGGCGTACCGACTTGATGGTTACAAGATGGCTGAGCTCGTCAACGACACCTTTTCGCTCGGGCCGAACCCGTCGGTCACCACCTCGTCTACTGGATCCACAATTCTGAAGTGAGTGATTTCACCAGAGTCCTCTTATACCCGAAATTGGGCTGTCTTTCTTGCAATATTAGCCGGTCTCCAAATGCGCACGTCTAAGCTCAAGTCGATTTGCTTCGCGTTTCCCCAGGTTCTCCCGCAGTAACGGGGATGGCGGCACGGTTCCGATCAACCTGAGCGGCGAGACGTACGTCATTTGGGCCTTCTCCCGCGGCATGCTCGAGGCGTTCGGCTACCACGATTACAACAGGTGCGTTACGACCATGGTTCGAAAAAGACTCGTTCAATTCCGCCGCGGAACATACTGAATTATCGATCCTTCAGCTGTCTTTGTGCGACTACATGCACTGATCGTGCTGGTGACTTGTCATTTTTCCTCTCAGGGGTCTCGCCATGGTTGATTTCCTCTGCAACAAAGACACGACCATCCTGATGCGACCTGGCGAAAACGTGGCGAACATTCCGGGTGCGAACGTGGAGAAAGACGATTACGCGGGGCTGACCCCCGCAGAGCGTGAGGACGAGGAGGCCCGCAGGGAGCGCCGGACAGCGCGCCGAGCCAATCGCGGGGCGATTTTCCGTTCATGGGCTAATGCTGCGTTTGGCCTCCCCAGCCCTGTCCCATCGTACAACCCATCATCGCCATTACCCTAAATACCCGTGGCAAAATATTTCTGGCAAAAGTTTCTTATACATGCCAATCTAGATTAGCCTTTTAGCCTTTTAGCTAGATAGGGATGCTATCTAGAAGATGATGTGTTCTCAAATAGATGTGCTATGAGGGTTTATGTTATTTTTGTGGATGTCTTTAGCACAGCCATTCTGCAAACATAGCGCTCATGTTATGCAAGCTATTCCCATTCCACTCGTTGCTCCTTTGTGTCAGTTGAAGGTGTTTCCTTCCATGACACATGAAGGTTCCTACAACTTGAGAAACCTTGATGGGTTATCAGGACTCTCAGAGATACATACATAGCAACCCGTCACAAGAAGCAGGGCCACGGGTGTTATGAATGAACTTGCAGAGTGCGCAGAATAACGAATAACGAGAATGGTTGATTACTGAATGACGATACAAGGAAAGTGACGGGAATTTATCAGGGGAATCCTAGCTAGGCGAGGAGGTCGGGCGAAGGATGGCTCGGTGATGTTGCGATTGGAGCGGAGGCGACTCGGGGGTGGTTCGGTGCGACGAAATAGGCCAAACATGCTCTTCGCGTGACCCTCGGGATGGCCTCGCAAACGAGTGCCTCAGTAAGGATTTGTAAATCCTTACAACAGGAAAGGGTTTTCCTGCGTATCTACTGTCAAATTCAGAGCAGGTCCCTCCGTAGGACCGCTCCGTTAGGGCCCACCAACCGTACGTACTGCCCCAGGAGCTGCTGCCGTTGCGTGCTGCCCTGCTAGCCGCGCGCTGCTGCCCTGCCCTGCCCAGCGCTATCACGCTGCCTTGCCCCGCGCTACCCCGCCGCGCGCTGCCCTGCTGCCGCGCGTGCTGCGCTGCTGCCCGTACTGCCCTGCTCGCCGCGCGCTGCCCTGCTCGCCGCGCGCGAACTGCGCCACGCACGCGCACAGCTCGCGCCCTGCCCGCCCGCGCGCTGCCCACGCGCGCCCTGCCTGCACGCGCGCCGCCTACGTGCGCCCTACCCGCACGCGTGCTGCCTACGTGCGCCCTGCCCTGCTGCCCGCGCCCCCCTGCCCTGAAGTTCGCGCGCCGCCCTGCCCCGCAGCCCGCGCGCCGCCCTGCCCCGCAGCCCGCGCGTCGCCTTGCCCCGCAGCCCGCATCCGTGGACAGGGCCAGGAGCGCTACTTTCTGCTAGTTGTTGACGACTACACGCACTACACCATGGTCTTCCCCTTGCGGAGCAAGGCGGATGTCCGCGATGTTTTGATCGACTGGATCATCGCTGTTCGTCGCTAGCTGAGCGTTCGGTTTCAGTAGGACCACCCGGTCCTGCGACTGCACTCTGACAGAGGCGGTGAGTTTTCCTCCGGCCTCCTTCAGGACTTTTGTCGTGCGGAGGGCATCGCCCAGTCGTTCACGCTTCCGGCCTCTCCACAACATAATGGGATTGCTGAGCGTCGCATTGGCTTGGTCATGGAGGTTGCTCGCACCTCCATGATCCATGCGGCTGCTCCCCATTTTCTGTGGCCGTTTGTGGTCCGATACGCCGCGCATCAGCTCAACCTCTGGCCCCGTCTCTCTGTGCCAGAGACCTCGCCTACACTGCGTTGGACGGGGGAGGTTGGCGATGCGTCGGCGTTTCGGGTCTGGGGCGCACTCTCCCTTGTCCGCGATTCCACCGCGAGCAAGCTCTCTCCTCTCACTCTCCGCTGCGTCTTCCTAGGCTTCCCCACCGACGCCCCGCCCTGACATTTTTATCACCCTGCCTCGCGCCGCGTCCTGTCCTAACAGGACGTCACCTTTGACGAGTCGGTCTGCTTCTACCGTCTCCACCTACACATGTCCTCCCCACTCTCCCTGCCGCCCCTCTTCTTGGTCCCAGGTCCCCCCCCGGTAGACCCCCTCCCCCCACAAGGTCCTGCACCCTCAGGTGTGTCTCAGGTCGACCCACCCCCCTTGGTTGAGCCTTTGGAGGTCTCCTCTGACACCTCTGGCCTAGCTGAGGGGGGGTGACCCCGCTGCTGACGACACGGCGGCCACTCGCCGCTCCCCGGGCTTGGAGACCCCTCCTGGTTTTTTCGCCTCGGCTGTCTTCGCCGCCTCCGCAGCCCGTCGCTGTGGACTCTGGTGCTGTTGGGGGTGGGGACCCTGAGGGTGCGAACTTTGGGGGTGCTGGTCCGCGGGTTGCTGAGTCTAGTAGTGACAAACTGGTCCTGGAGGACAGCGTTACTCACTAAGTTCGTAGAGAACGAGGGGAGGTGGAGACCTGGGAGAGAGCCGGAGGGGACCGCCAGACAAGGGAGGACAGTGGAGGCTCGTGCAACGACTGGGCCCCTAGAGGGGTCAGCTAGAGCGACTGGGACAGGTGCTGTGAGCGGTGTGACTGTGGTGCAATCGCGAAAGAAGAAGTGAGACGCGCCTGCATCAAGTGTGAAGGTGTGCAAGGCCTTAGTAGAAGCAGTACCTGCGGCAGCAGACTCACAAGCACCTAGAGCAGCAGCCTCTACGCCAGCAGCGCGCGGCACACACGAGTAACAGTCACCCTCAACACTAACAGAACCAACATACATAGCATAGAGTCCAGCATTGATCTTGGCAAAGTCAAGAGCAAACACATCCACCCCCTTCCCTATCAATCCTCACCAGTTGGGGATCTCCTGATCATCTGCATACTCGGTGCGCCAGGCACCGTCGAGACGGCAGAAGCAACGGTAGTCAGTGTGCCCAATCTTCCCGCATGGCTCACTTGTCGTGAGACCCGTGCACCTGATGTACGGGCAACGGACACTACCCCCAGAGGAGCCACGCTGGACAACCCACTCACGAAGCTCCTGAAGGGTACGTGGCTCCTGCTGTTGTCCACCCCCAGTGCCTCCGCCGCCACGAGCTGCATCCCCAGTCGCCGCCCCATAGCCTCTGCCCCTGTCAGCTCCACCCCGACCGCCACCCGAGCCCCCTCCGCCCACTCCACCGCCTCCACCACCCCCGCCACCTCCACTGCCGCCACCACTGCCTCCACTCCCGCCACCACCCCCGCCACCGCCACCACCACCACCACCCCCGCCTGCGCCACCCCCACCACCCTTAACCCCCTTGCCCTTGCCGCTTCAGCGCCTCCCACTAGGAGAAGACGCAGCACCGACCTCCTCAGTACGAAGGAAGTCAACAGCAGCAGCAGTAGAAACAGAGGGTGCGAGAAGGGAGGGAGAACACCCCTCAAAGAAAGGGGAGCGGGGAGTGCCACGAGAGGCAGCTACAGCGACAGTATTGGTCTCAGCCTCTAAGAGATGCTTTTCCAGCAAGGCAAGGGTGAG